GTATTTCATTACGAAGATGTATAAACATTTACAGTCCTACACATAAAGCGATATACAACAATCTTTTTGTCTGGATCGATGTTACAAATCGCGTTCTTTATCACAATAATAATGTAATATCGCTAGATCTCTCTGTACGTGCACGAGCATTTAAGGCAACGCAACAAATAAATTTATTTTGGAATTACAGGAAAAATTGCAAATTGCTCAACAGTAAAACGCTAATTATCCTAAGAATAATGAATAAATGTTTATGATAATTTGAAGATTCGACTAATTCTTTAATTATGGATAAAATAATTAAAAGTTTTTTTCAGGATGTTAGAAAAAATATTAGAGACAAAAATTTATTGCAAAATTAATTTGTGAACGCCAACGAAATTGATAAGGTTATAGTTAATGGATTAACGTCCAGGTATTAGCATACAAATATGTAATATATAAATACATCAGCGTCATTTAAAGATAAATTAAAATTTGAAAGCGACAAAACTACTTTACTCATTTAATAATAATGGTTTATTTATTAAATTAACAGATTATTTTAAAGTTTATTAATTAGATATATCAACATGCAAAACACATTGAATCACTAATTTCCAAATTGAATCCTAATAGGTATCTATGGAAATCGAGATAAATAACAAGTAAAAACAACCAATTAACCCGATAGTGCAATTATATTATATTATATTATTTCAAAAAGGAACCCGAATATTTAAAATTTGGTGTCAAAATAAGTTTATTTCCGAAACCGGCCTTTCGTGTTTTTCACGGAATATAATAAAACTTCTTTTAAAAAATAAATCATTAAAAGCTTTTAAACCGTTCTAATCAAATGAAAATTAAAAACTAATAAAGGTTTAGGCTGTATTTTTTCCACCATATTTATTTTTTTACTCTTATTGGACTGGCAACGTATCAGCTGTCGTTACTTTCAAGCCAACTGTAAGATATAATTAGCAATTAGTTTCATATGAAAACTAGACGTAACATAATGTGATAGTAACTTTAATCTTTTCTGTTGAGCTATGGAGCTCCACTAAACCATCGAATTCCTCTAGCATCCAATCCTTACAATCCAAAATCCTTCATAAAATTCTCAATGCTCCCTACTTCGTTACAAATAAAACCATCCATAATGACCTTAATGTTTCTTATGTTTCAAATCTGGCCCAATCCAGATACCTATCCTTCCATAATAAACTTCAGAATCATCCCAACCCACTCGTTTCTAATCTTGCTTCCTCTTCAATTCCTGAGAATCCTCCGAGGCGTCTGAAAAGAAGATTGCCCCGTGATCTAGTAATGAAGTCATATCATTAGAGTGCTACCATTGGGTAGTTACTTTACAAGTGTTTTCACGTCATTCTATTCATATGTTCAATTTTAGTAAATGCATTTCTTTAATACAGTTGTAAATATTATTAAAAAATAAAAAAAAAATAAAACTTTTCTTAAATCGAACATTATATAAATCATATCTCTAATGGGATTGTGTCAATAGATTAGTATAAACCTTTATTATGAATCAAATACACCTTAAACTAAAAGAAATAGAAATTAAAAAATAATTTATTTTATTATATCATCATCATGCAAATATAAAGTTAATTTTGTATAGTAAAATTTTTATAACCCTCGCCTCCTCCGAATCATATACCATTTTTATTTATAAACCAAATCCTAATTAATCTTTTTCTTTGTTGAAAAACTGGCCTTTAAGTATAATTCTCTCCAAAAACAGGGCCTAAGTTTAATTTTTTATAATATAATATAATAGCTATTAAAGTAATCAGTAATTTTTGGAAAAAAGTGCTACAAATAAAAATTGTATAAATTTTTGTTTTGATATTAAGATTGGAATAGAAAAAAAAGTTTCTCTGATATACTGAAAAATTGCCAATATTGATTAGACTTCACTTTGAAAATAAACGACTCAGTTATGTATAATGTGCTGCTGTACAGCGCAAAAGATCCTATTTAACAATTTTCTATGTTAATTGTATTTGTACTGAAGGTGGCATTTCGTAGTCTGCAACTACAGTAATGTCTGATACTATGGAAAATAGTATAGGTAAATAATATTAAATAATAACTATGTACGGTACCTTGGACTCTACTTAGACAAAAGGCTTACTTGGAACATACATACGAAATTAAAAAGACAAGAACTTACTAGACGATATAGCCAACTTTCACATCTTCTGGACTACAGATCTACACTTAACTTACGAAACAAGCGACTTATCTACAACACCTTACTGAGACCAATATGGACATATGGAGCAGAACTTTGGGGTTCAGCAAAACAAACACACATAAACAAAATACAAACAGCACAATCAAAAATTATACGAAAAATTGTTAACGCACCTTGGTACATTTCAAACACTACTATACATAACGACTTAAACACCCCAACAGTAAAATCCTACATCCACGACAAATACACTACATTTCATTCTTCAACCCAAAATCACCCCAATCCTCTGGTTCTTCTATCTCCTGCTCCCTGTTACCTGAGCAACGAAGATTAAGAAGAAAATGGCCAAGAGACCTACTACATCAATAAAAAAAATCAAGCAATTACAACAAGACAATAAAAATACAACAAATTTGCTAGATGCGCAGCTGCGCAGGTGCAAATTGCATAAAATAAAATAAAAAAAAAATCATAAAGAAATAATCAGTTTTCAAGGCTCTTTTGCAAAAAAAAACTCAATTTATACATACGACCTTTTGTACTAACACTAGCGATAAATAAATGATGTAAATATTATTAGAGTTTATTAAAATATTTTTTAATTTATATTATCAGTATTTTTTTTTTTAATACTACCATCTAACTTTTAAATTGTGAAATGTGACCATTCCTGATTCAGCTTTTGTCGGAGCACGTACGACCGTCGGTTACGAAGATAGGTGTAAAGTAAACTGACATTCAGAGGATATAGCTGAAGCAATTAAAATGCCCAACACTCCCAAAGCCCCTACATAATCAATATCTCATACGAAAAGCCCAGAATACAAAGCAGGATTTCGGCCTTCGCATCCCGATTATCCGCGACTTGCTTTAATTCTCTGAGCGCCTACAATATAAACGTTCTGTATTAACTGACTCAACACAGAATTATAATGCTATAATTTGTCAGGCTGATACATATACCAAATAACTTAATGAAGTTATTTGGTATATGTATGTTAACCAATGTTAACGAAATTATGTAAATTAACCAAATATGGTTAATTTACATACCCAAGCAAATTTTAGGATGTAACTTTGAAAATAAAGATTTAATCTCTTTATTCATATACATAAAGATGTTTTCAAAATAAATAAATTAAGGTTAAAAAAAAAAATCTGCTTTAAAGATGTAATTAATCGCTGAAAAATATCTATATGTTTTTTTTTAACATACGATATGTTCGAAATTGTAACATTTTAGTAAACGACAATATAGGCTACTCAAAAAAATTAGAAATGTTTTTTTTAGGTTCTGGATACTAAATAGGTATGTGGTCGGTGCATCTTAAATTGCAAATTAAATAAAACATAAATTAAATAGGCCTGAATTCGCTGGAATATAATTAGTAGATTATAATTTAAAATACCTAACAAATCGAAACTTTTCATTAGTTGATAAAATTCTTTAAAGAGCGTCCATAAACCTATCAAATAATAAAGCCTTAAGATTATCTTCCCGATTCCGGAATACCGCCGCTAATGGTGCCGAAACGTATATTGTAAAATCGAGGGATTTAAAGGTATCTGAGTGAGTTTAGAAAGGAATTTCGACTCTTTGAGGACTGACCTACCTTATAGCGAGTCCGAAGAATGCGGCTTTTTCCCTGGACCGGGGTTTTAGAATTTTTATTCCTCCGCGAAAATTTAACGATATTCGTCCAGGCGTTTCACCATTCGAACCAGCTTTCAGAAAATAACATTTTAAAAAGCTTTTCGACAAAATTTAACAATTGTATTTCTTTATTTTTTTTAATTCTGTAGAACAATGGTTAGTACGGAGAAAATAAAATAATTATTTTATAAAAAACAAATATAAATGTGACTTATTTTCATAATTTAAAGAGATAATCACAATACACATAGCTTATTTCCAAAATGAATTGATTTATATGGAAACCGATATATAATAAGCATCGATACATATTTCAAAATACCCAATAATCACGATGGTGTAATTTTTTTTTTCGAAAACCAACCAACATATTTTTTTAAAAATGGTGTGAAAAATAATTTTTAGAAATTTCCAAAACAGACTTTTCTTTTTTAACTAAAAGAATGAAACTTGTAAAGAAAACACAATTCATCAAAAGCTATTTTAGCATTTGTTTGCAAACGAAATTTATTTAATTACAGCATAATTGTAGAAAGGTAATTTATCAGAGCACATTTTTTATAACGTTTCTCTTCGAATAGGAAACATTTTTATGTTTTCAACTGTCCAAACCAAATTCTAATCAACTTTTTTTTGTTTTGTCAAATCGTTCCTTGAAGTTTAATTAATTCCAAAAGCGGTTTCATTGTTCTTTAATTAATATTGAATTAATCAATAATTTTTCCGAAATAATTGCTATGATTAAATTATTCCTTAACTTATTTTTTTTTTTAAACGATGGTTTTGATATTGAAATTGGAATATAAAATATAGTTTTTCGCTTTTCTGTAAATTCGTCAATGATGATTAGCGTTCATTTTTGGGAATATACTACATTTTGTGAAATGAAATAGTGGAGTAAAATTGGTAAAGCAATTAATGTTTTCAACATAATTAGTTATAATTAGTAAATTAGTAATTAGTTTTTTTAAAAACACAAAGTCACCACTGAACATTATAATAAATGAAGTAAAGTATAGTAGTTAGTAATTCAAAGAGATACAAATTAAATAATATGTAGATGTCACCTACTGCGATAGTGAGGAATACGATTTTATAATGAACTAATTTATTGTGCGCATGCGCATAGCGAAAATTCCGTTAAATTTCTATTGTAATTACAGTAGAATAGGAAGGGTTGCCCCCGTTGTCCAATACATATGATAATGAAGTCTTTATTCCCGTCCTCAGGCAATCAGTCTCCGCCTGGTGCCCCATTGTCAGGGGAATCCGCCCCACATAGACGAGGCCAGTCACCCAAGCTATGTAAGGGCTTATATTTAAAACATAAAACACTGGTTAATGGAACTTTAAATTACTTCAAGTATTTTCCAACTTCATTCCATGATTCACAAAAGATTGTAATTGTAATTCTTCTCTGTAATAGCCATGTAACTAAGCTGATTAGACACAAAGGAAGATACAAAAATTAGCTTTCTGGTGATACCCATAAAATTCACAAAATTTCTCTTAACACACTACTCAGAAGTGCCACAGATATATATTGAGAAAGAAAACTTGCCATGTTTTTTTTTTCTAATATTATTTTCAGAGAACGTCGAGATAGTAAAAATATTTAAAGCAGAAAAAATATTGTATAAGAAAGTTCCACTTTATAGGTATAATTTCTCTAAAAAACACAGACTACACCTTAAAGTGTTCTACAGTATATGTATAGCCCGCAGGCTTTGGGGAGCGGGGGTGAAAATATCTTCTCCCTCTCCCAATATTTCGAAGAAAAATAAAATAAAACCAATAACAATTAATCTGCATTAATGAATAAAACATGTAAACTAAAATCGATTAAGAAACAAGCGAAAGTCGATTAGATGACTGAGCTAAATTCTAGAAATATGGATGCTAGTATTTTACAACGCCCTATGTTCCTATTATTAAAATTTTAGTTTATATTCAAATATAATTATATGCAACAAAATATTCTTGGACTTTAAAATTCATTTTTGGGCATCCTTCCAATTTTACTTGAAAAGTTAGTCATCTTTTTCTAATTCAGACCGGAATGAAATAAACATACCATGAATAGTAAAAATTCATGTTTTAAAAATCATCCCTGACCCCAGAATATTGTATTTTGTGGAATTGAAATAAAGTTAAATGAAAACATACCAAACGGTCAATTTGTAATGGATTATGAATTGAATTATTTTATAATAGTTAATAAATTAATTATTAAATCGACATGTCAAACGCCCTAATTCGAAAATCTAGTTGTTGGTATTAACAACAAAATAATACAACTGACCACACTAATTTCCACCTATCTTCCCATCACCGTTTATTCGAATTGGATAACAGCATTCGCGTTCAACAGGCCCGCTTTGAACATTTTGGTAGGTCATCAAGGGTCAAAAGGTTGTAAGATATTTTACATTAAGCTGACTGTAAATATTTTGAAATCAGGGACGAAGTAAGATTTTGGCGATGAAGAGCAAGTTTAATTTTTCGTCAACTTTTTAAAGGAAACAGTCTTCAGGAGAACATCTTTAATTAGGTACATAGTTTTATTTTACTTATTTACACATATATTTTATAAAATCAAACGTATATGCTGTTTTGATCCAACTTTAATAGAACTAAAAACATAGGTGCTGTGGGCGTATCACACAACTTTCAATTACTACTTACATAAATAGGTAATTTATAATTTAATAATACCGTAATACCTAAAACTCAAGGAAGTTAAAAAAGCAATTATAGTCGATTTAATGTATTCATTTAAAACAACCAATTACCAATTAGAAAAAAAAGTTGGCGGGATTAAAATATAGGAATTTAAAAAAAAATATTTAAATTAACAAAATGTAAAAGTGGATATTGTTTAAAAATTCTGAGCTTTATCAAAATCGTCTATCACGAAACACACTAACAAAAAGAGTAAATATTAGTAGATAGATATTATAAAATATAAAAACACATTTATATTTGTAGATCCTTATCATTCCGCGTTAAAATCTTTTAAAAATTATGTGTAAGTGAAATGTGAACAATTAAACTAATAATAAATAACAATAGAAAAGCCGTGTAAAGATGAGGGTAGTTTAAATGGATGAGAATTGATGACTAACACTTATTTATCCTTTCGTTAATTATCAAATTCGTTCATAGTTTATATTTAATTTTTTTTAATTACTATTTATAATGTTGATTATTATAAATTAAAGATACTTTAGAGGAAGAAATTGCGAAAATTCGTCATTTGAGCCCTTTTAAATTGTTTCAGTGAAAATAACACCTGCCTGATTAAATATGACTGAATTTTATATTTATATGTAGAGTTTCGTCAAAGCCGTTTTCGAAAAAAATATAAAAACATGTAAAATCGATAATATAAAGTACCACTTCTGGTAAGTCGATTTTGGCGAAAAAAAAAACATTTAGCATTTCAGACATATCTATCTTTAATACGTAATTTCAGTTTTTTTACTGTTCACACATACACAGTACAGTTTTCGAACTTGGTTTTTTGGAGTTAGGGATCCTCAAAACGAGTATTTTACGTTCTATGCTCGGAATTTTTACTATCGCAATACTTTTTTTTCTGATAGTTTATTTATAGGTGAGTGAAAATAAAAATAGATTTATAGCGTGTCTTTTCGTTATTCATTGGTTTTGTAACAACTAAATATATAAGTCAATGTTTGTATTTGGACCCACTGGAAGAAATAATTAGTTTAGATGGTCCGAACTCCTGAGCCTTCTATACACTCCTGCCCATTCAAAGCAACCCATTCATCCATTCTTCGTCGGTGTATTCATACACAAATCATTTCCAGTTCGAACTCTCTCATGTGCATTAAAGCATTTTTCTCTTTTTTTTTTTTTTTTTTTTTTTTTGTTCTCCATGCTCTTCTTTTACGGAGCAATAGAATTAGAGACAAAGGTGTAAGTGGTGATGAATTATCTATTAATGGTTTTCAACTCCATCAAAAGAAGAGATAAATAATTGAAAATTGACTTTAATGTACCTACTGCTTGTTTATATTAACTGAATATTAACTTTGATGTGATAACCAAAACTTGAAAAAATATTAACAATAAATAAAATAGGTATTATACCAAAATTTAAATTTGTTTAACATTTTTAGGCTGTGGTAAACGATAAAAGTACCGTATCTAAAATCCTCGATTACACATTGAACTCTGGTTAACTTATGAAATCTTTTCAACCTTTGATTACAGTACAAATATTACAATAATTATTGTGATACATGACAATTATAATGACAGAAAAAAAAGATATGTAGTTAATCACAGGAACGATTACCTACGTGCTTTATAAAAATGTAATTTTTTTTTAATCTAGACAATTATATCAGTAATTTAGAAAGCAATTATAATTGCCGAATGAGTTGTATTTAGAGACGATGACATGAAAAAGTATGAAGAACACCTTCTACATTCTCTTGACCATCAGTGAAGTCATTCTTTTAGACTATGGACTCTCTAACACGACTTCTTTTCAGACATCGATATGAAATAATAAAAATCTGTAGCAGTAATAAAAGTAATTCAACAGTGGCCCAAATATTTCAGCCATAACCATTTGACAAATAGAAGTAGCACAATCCTTTCCAAAAATTAAAATAATCACAATTTCCTCATATAATAAGATTGTTTACATACATACATACATATGTAGCATTACTTCTTCTTTTATTCATAAATTATAAACAAATAAAAATATTGGACTAATATTTACAAATATTGATTCAGAAGAAATGGAAATTACGATTCTTAAAGAGTTGAGAGATGTACAGATATACTGAAGTGTTTTTTTTTTTTAATTTTACCCCGTCCACGCCTTTTAGATTATAAGATTTTTTCCTGAGCCAGAGGAGAGGGCTGGGGATTAACGCCAGAGTTAAAATCCTCTCGGCACACAGTGATTACAGTTTGTAAAGAGGATTTAAGTACCTAATTGGGCAAATTTTTAGGTATTTTCCAAACTAATGAAAAGTTCAAATTTTATTTGACTGATTTATTTAATTCTTATACATTCCTTATTATGTTTATTTATGTACACAGCTTTTAATAGAGTTTCAGAGCGTTAAATTTCAGTAGTATCCCAAAAAGGCAAGATAAACTGAAAGAAGGCGAGGCAGCTTATGAATTCAATTCAAAATTCATAAATTGACTCACCTTCTTGCGGTTTATCTAGCAAAAAATGGGAGAAATTAGAGAACACCATTCATACTTACTTTTATCTTCTGACGCATATATATCTTTTATTAATAAAATACATACATATATATATATATATATATATATATATATATATATATATATATATATATATATCGGAACAAAAGAAACAAAACTTTATAAGGTCTTCTTCAACCATTAGATCTTTTAAATCTCTCTGAGGACATTACTAATTGAAATTTATTTTAAATATATTTATGATAGAATAATGGAGAAAAAGAAAATAGTGGATGATGCCTTCTGGGGTACTGCTACTAAAATTTAAGACGCCAAAACTATACTAAAATTTGTTTACATAAAAAAACATAATAAGAAATGTAGAGAATTAAATAAATAAATCAAATATGTACATTATTGGCGCTTTAGGGTGGAAGATTTAAAAGTTTAATGTTGAGCAATAAATGCAAAACTTTGAATTTCGATAACTCAGCCGGGTGTTAGTAGAACCTAACCAAATTAGATGGTTTTTGTTTATTGTTTCATACGAAACAAAATGACTAAAATCACATTCTACAACCCGCTCCCCTTAAAAGATATTGCGATTTTAAAATTGTAAATTTGCACATTTTTTGTTTAGTTATTTTCCTTTATATCTTTCTTCAGAAGGGGTTTTCGCAAAAAAAAAGTAAAGGAATATTTCTCAGAATTAAATTTTCTATGAGATAGCAAAAAAAAAAAAAAAAAAAAAAAAAATTGAACTTTACATTAGTTTGGAAGATACCTAAAAAAATTGTTTTCCTTTTTTTTTCATATTAGCTACTTAAATCTTCTTTACGAACTCTAAGGCCAAAGTTCAAATGAAGGACATATAACAATTTTGTCTGGAAGAACAAAATGCCGACTTGGTTAAGTTTTGACCAATGTGCGGCACCAGAACGAGAACTCGATTATTTTATCTAAAATTAATTACTTTATCATCTCAACTTCACTTTATCAGATTGTCAAGCAGCATGTTTCACACACGCGTTCTTCTTGACTTCTTGGCCACCCCGCCTCCGAGATTAAAATGGACAGAGCGAGAGAGCATTGCGGGTAAGAGGTGGAATGATGTATAGTTAATCAAGGATTTACCGATGCCCTTCCTTTGAATTTACAAGTGATCGCCAATACCTCTAACTACCCTAACCACTTTACAGTATGTCATGAGAAACGCTGTGATACATGCGGATATGATTCTGTACAATCCGTTACTCCTCGCCGTTTCTGGCATACTAGAGGAGAGGAGTTTATTCTAGAGGTACAACCGAACCTATTTTAACAAGAATCGGTAGGTTCAGATTTGTTACAAAACCAATTTCAACCCGCAAATTGCGGAATCGATCCGACGCGCAGCATGGCGGATTGCGAATCTAGCTCGTCCAAAGTCAAGTTATGATATGACCAACGCCTTAACAAGCTCGGCCATCAAAATCTCAAACAATCAATCATATACTCTTTACAGTTCCATTGTGATTGTTTCGAGTTCACTAAATACACGTGTTTCTACCTGAATTATGAAATATGTTTCAGCACTTTGTCCTTTAAGTCGCAGAAAGGTGGATGACCCTAGGAAAGGGGAGACGGAATACGAAGAAGAGGACAGTAGATAGACCAGAGAGCAGGTGAAGGGTATTAGCCCTTCTACCTGGGGCTAAATGGTTAATTTGGGGGAGCGGGGCCACCTATATCAATGGTGGACCTTTTCCACAAGCACAATACCATTTCCGCTACCACTTCTTCACTCTGCCTCCGCCACGTCCTACTAATAACACAGAGGCCACCGAGGGGGAAAAAAACTTCTAACAAAAAAGCTGCATATCTTGGTGGCTTTGCAACGGCATCGAGTTACATCGGCTAATAATACTATTATTTTTTTTTAAACATGTCGGTCAGGGTGTTCAGCTCTCCCTTTGCATTCCATTAGTTTTTTTTTTCATTCATAGCAGAGTACAGAAAATTATATGTTTAACTTATCCTTTTTATTTTCTTATATGGTAAAACGCGAATTACTATTAAATAATAATAAGTAGCAATAATAATAATAACAATATATTAAATGATGATTAAACAACTGTTATGTTCAGTCTAATTATAACAGTAATTGAGTTGTTAACGCAAAATAAAATTTTTATCTTTTTTGGTTTCTAAATTGATTTATATTTAAATATTTTTATATGTATACTGTTTTTTATACATTTATGAGAAAAATATATATATTTAGAAAGGTTTCGAATGTAGTTTGAAGCTTTGACACGGTAACCAATTTTGTTCCATTGTCTCTGACGGCATTATGGTATGCATAATGTTAGACAATTAATACAAAACTACGGTTATTGGCTAAAAACTACATGTTGGATATGAAAACAATATTAAATAAAAAGATTTTTTTTTTGTTTCTAAAAATATTTTTAAAAAACAACTTGTTAAGTGAATCATTAAAATAATTATATTTCTCTCCGAATTAATGGAATTTCCATTAAGAATCAAATTTAATTTTTCAAAATTTAGTTAATTTATACTGACGATTCTCAGCGCTCTTACTTTTCTAACTCTGCACACTTTTCTTACTTTTCTAATGAAAACCATGCAATACAAATGGGCTAATGTAATCCCATACTAAAAGTCTAAAAAGGTCTGTTAGAGTTAAATGCTACCTTATTATATCTTTGAGGAACAGAATATTTTTTTCAACACTTTAACACACCCTTGTCACATTTTCTCTCCCATCTGTATACTCGGATCTTATGTCCATCAACACTAATAAAATTTTCAGCAGCAATTTTGATTTTTATATTTCTATTCTTTATCTCTCACATAATATTGCAATTACAACAATATTACGCAGGCAGATAAAAATTTGAAAGACAACAATTTTGAACGTGTTTTCAAATTCAAGCATCCAAAGACTTGTTTCAATTCTGTCAGCTAATTAATTTATAAAACACTTTTTCTAAACCATAAATTAATTATATATTTCAATTCTTAGGTTATTTTTGGAAAAATGTGATGTTTAAAAACAACATACTAAAATTATTCTAATTAAAACCGTATTTGTTTCAACAGATATTCAATTTCATACCTTAACGATTTTTTAAAAAATAATATAAATTACTCAGAATACTATTATTCTGTAATCAAATTTAAAAAACACGGTTCTGTATCCAATTATATAAATAGGATAATTATAGTTGCATTTATGAATGATTTTTAATTTTGATAAATCTAAAGTAATCTCCTTGAATCAACTTTGAATACCGGCTGAACATAATTTCAATCATTATAGTGAAAAATGGAGTTCACTTAATACATAAGTGAAGAATTAAAAAAAAAATAAATAATAGAAATTAACAGTATATTTTTTTTAATAAATAAATTAAAATTCTATGTTGTCCGTACGTATAATACAAATACAATAAAAATAAAAAATCTTTGCAGTAACAATAATACACTGTCATGGAACATTTCAAAGATAAAAGTAATTGTAATGGTTCTTTTCACGCGAGTAGATTACATATCTAAACCGTTATTCACGTATCCTTTTTTATTTCAGTAGTATCGATTAAAGGAAGAATCGTATCTTATCTTCGGCTTGACACTCTGGCCTCTTCCGACAATGTTGAGAAAGCCGACAATCTCTTTTTATTGCCTAATAAAATATGTTAGTGATTTTATTTATCTATTTATTACTCATATAATATTTAAATGCTTATTATATAGCAGGAATAATCACAATAAAAAATGTACTCAACAGTTGAATCTAAACGCTATATTTAATTTACCAAAGACAATATGATATAATTACCAATATAATTATTATTTTATGTTTCTTCCTAATAAATATTATTACAATTTAACGAGTTTTCAATAATTTATCACTATAATTAATTTATTTATTTATTTCTCAATACAAAAAATATAATTATTTTTATTATTAAAAATACAAGGATTATTCTTTAATTGAAGTATTTATTATTTTTTCTCCCTGAAACCATGTTTAGCTCTCTATAACTGTCGTAAAAACTATAATACTGATGTTTCCGATTTTTAAGAAAATTGACTAATAATTTAAAAATATTTTATAAGCTATAAACGTTGACGATTCCAGAAACGATACGGAAATGACTTATTCGGGCGTTGAAGTTACCGAGTTGAAGGAAATAAGAAAAGACTGATTTCCATAGTTATCTTCTCAAAATACATATTAATTTATTAATGTATACATGATGAATTTTTAATAAATACAACATAATGAAACATATTTTATATTAAGTAAATTATACAGCTCTACATCACCTGTTTTTTATGCCGAGCAGGTATAGGGCAGGTAACAGGTCAAACCCGAATGCCGAAGGCACCAATTAAAAACCCTATAATAAAATTAGTGGCACGCTTGAAATTATTAAGTGATTGCGTCGGAATCCTTTAAGGATCTTCCTTTTTTCATATTTCTTGGCGTTAATTTTTATTATTTTTTAAATATTCATTGACTAACACGCGTTAGTGGGTGTATAAAATATATTTTTGTACAGTTTACTTGAGAATTTTCATTTAAAGAATACAAATAAATATCCATTTTTTAAAATGAGGATACATGGTTTACAATAAATGACCATACTTTAATCTTGTGTAAATAAATAATCTTATTAGTTTCCTTCACCTGTAATGCAACGTATTTATGACATTAATTTCTTTGTTTTAGTAACACAAAATTTCAGCTTACCTCCAGTTATTTTAGGCACGTCCGTTGCGAAACCCTTCTGAGCGAATGAGTACTTGACGTTGTCGCAGTTGACACCATCCGGTAGCGAAGATGCTGCTGGCTTCATGACACCCAAGAAGAACAGAGGAACGATGATGTAAACACATATTTCGTACACGTGATTCCACTGCATTTTAAAGCGACGATAGTATTACCAATTCCTTCAATAGTAATAATTTTAATTAATTATAGTCCTTTAACTACTAAACTACAAGAGGTGGAGGAATAGACTCATAACGCGACCGACATAGCGAGAACAAAACCGGTTGATACGTCCCCACCTCACTCCAGAGTAGCTGACGGAGGAATGCTGAATGTGTCTGCTTGAGCCAGCCGGTGAGCCGTCGGGTGTCTACGGCCACAGTCGGCTGCCTTCGGCTCTGGATCCACAGGCTAATAAATAGCCCCACTTTATCTTGTTGGTCCATTTATGGGGGTTTGTACCTTATACTATAAATGGAATTTCCACTCACATATCACTACCTACCAAATTTATAAGCCTGAGTAAAAAAATCTATTAATCTGCGGGAGGGATAGTTAATTTAAAATCTATTCTCCGCTTCGTTACGTAGGCTTCTCTGATTAATTCTTTTACATCTATTGGTTCTTGGCCATTAGTTATTGATTCTTGTATATCTATGGGTGGTTAGGTAATTATTGTATATCTACATGGAGGGTCGAAGAGGACTAAGTAATACAATACAAATATTTAATTTTGTTTTATTGAAATTATTTTTACTTCGAAAATTCAAGTATCATAAAATGCTTAATAATCGGATGTTTAAAGATTACTAGGTTCTGGAGACTCTTTTAATCAAAACGAAGACAGAATTCTATTACCGGACCATAACTTTGACATGAAAACCATTTCCCCTGAAGTAGAGAACATTGAGTGAAAACTGAGCAGGGAAGTTAACTTGTAATAATGATGGATTCCCCACACAGTTGTTTAAAGCTAGACAATTGAAGTCACCAAGGGATAGCAGGAACTCGAAGCTAAAATATGAGAAGAAGCGAGTGAAAAAATATCCCAAAATCTGTATCATAGGATCCAACAATATACTTAACTGTAACTGAATGATACAGAGGCGATTCCAGGCCCAACAGGTAAATCATTGATCAAATATTCACAATGGTTCGAGATATACAATGTGGTTGAGGATTAATGAGGACCAAATCACCACCTTCAAGAAACAATACTTCCTTACAAAGTAGTGATGTGAAACCCATCATGGACATAGAAGGAGAAAAAAATTGAAGATGACATGTAGAAAACTCATTAACAATAATTATGCATTTAATTATCAGTATTGATTTTATTCAAGGCATTATTATAAAATAATTACAAAGGTATGAAACTAATAAAAAACGCGTATAATTATTTTTATGAATTTTGATTTACTAAAATTGAGAAATATGCTAAAAAAAATAATTTGAAATTGGCATTTTTTTTTTAAAACTATAGTTTCACTTCAGTTCAATTCAGCTTAAAAAGTTCTATTCGGTTAAGGTCAGTAAAATAACACTACACAGAAAAATGGCTGCCGGATTACACATGTTTATACCCTCACCCGAAATCCTCCACACAAAATCATCCAAATTTCAGATATCTATAACCTCTTGCAATCCATACTTATATAAAAAAAAATGTATTTTTTTCACCTTTTTATAAGCTATGTCAGAAAAAAATCTCAAGGTTACCATGAAACATCAACAAAAATTTTCGGAACAGATTAAATTAGAATACAGAGATAGGCAAACAGAAAACATATACATAGATAAAATTTTATTATAATGACCTAAACATATTACTCAGTCTGTCAACTTACACGTATGGATTCTTATCACTGAAGTTTCAGACCTATAAGTGCCCTCAAGTGCTCCATAATTAGCCCAAGTATCATGAATACTGACTTTTTTTTTTTATGAAACTGTAAGTCAGAAAAAATTATTAACGTTACCGTAAGTCATATACCATATGATGATATCATCATATCATGAACCATCTCTAATTAATAATTAGAGATAGGTAATTATTTAAAATAAACCATATCAAAGGTAGTTTAGAAGAAGACGCATATGAACATTGGGCATTTAAGCCCTATAAAGTGATATCAACGGGGATAAGACCTAAATGATATTAAATACCAATTAATTATACAATGATACACCGAGTTCAATCAAAATCGTTAGAGCAGTTGGGAAAATCATAAAAATGTGTTTCACCGTTGATATAAAGTGGCACTTCCGGTTAGCCGATTTTAAAGAAAAAGTTGCAGTCACATCTAATGCATATACCTATCTTAAATACGTAATATCAGTTTCGTACGTCTTTTCGTTTTTTAGCTAGACTGCTAACATACACACTCACAGACTCACAGACACACAGACCATTTTTCGGGAGTTGGTTATTTGGACTCAGGGTACCCCGAAACGTGTATTCCGTTGATAACTCAGATTCAAAAATTTTCTCGATCGCAATATTTACCATTACTATATATTACATATATACGTAAGTGAATATAAAAAATTCAATTTTGGAGAAAAGTAGCTCAACAGAGTTCAGAGACTGAAAAATCAAAGCTGTATTTATAGCTTTGCTATATTAACATCCTTATTTTTTCAGATTTTTTTAAGTGATACTTTTTTATTAGCACTTTCATTTATTAATCCGCACCTGTCAATTACAACCATCGATGATCAGCAGATGAGCTGGCATGATCATGAGAAAAATAAAATAAAAAATATATATAATAAAGGCTTGATAGGCATGAGGAAAAGTAATACCCAGCGGCATCCCTTCCAAGGCTTAAGTGATGCTAATGGCCAAAATTGTTGAATAAACTGTTCATTTCTTAAAATTTAACACAATTTATTAAGAGTTTCTTTTTTAACATCTCTTTATTGGGGAAAAATAAATAAATATAGTCCAATACACATCAACACGGGAATAGTTCATTAATGCATCGAACACAAAAAATAAATAATTAGATCATAATAGAGGTTTTATTTTAAAGAGAAGTTGGACGGAGATGCGGTTTATAGAAACATCCTATCTATCATAGACATATTTATTTAATATTTAATTATAATATACAAGTAATTTTTCATTAACAGGGAGATTGACTCTGGGGTCGGGAGACCCTCCTTGGGTATACCCAGTTTCTATAAAATGGGAACTTTTAATTGAATAATTAATTGTGAGAGGAGATCTGGCGGTTGAGCGTGATCCTGGCCCGATCACCTCCTGGCACAATCGTTGGTCTTAGAAACAATACTTCCTTACAAAGTACTAAACTCAAGACCCTTACTGGGTTTTAACAGTACAGTTTTTTTTAATATTATTATTAATCCGTGGTACAAATAATTAAAATCCGCATGAAACTTCGTAAATAACTTCATCTCATCGTAACCTACAACTATTTTATTTACGATTATTCTTGAAATTGGGCGAACTCTGTCTATTTAATTAGGTACTAAAAACCCGTAAATACACATTTGCTTTGCAATCGGATCGTAAGATAATGTGATCGCAAAATCAAGAAAAAAGGTGACCTACAAAAATATTGGGACTTTTAGCCTATATAATCTCGTTATTTTGACGATTTGGGAGTGTATTTAACGCCAAACGGCTCAAAATTAAGGCAACCTTTTTTTATCGATTTTGTGATCAAATTATTTTACGATCCAAGTGGAAAGAAAATGCGTATTTACGAGTTTTTAGTACCTAATTAAATTGACAAAGCTTGCCGGTCTCCAGATTGAAAACGATCCAATTCCGAAAATGTTCGCAAATAAAATATTTATAGATTACGATGAGATGAAGCTGTTTACGAAGTTTCTGGTGGATGTTAATAATTTGACAAAAAGGTTCTGTACCACGGCATATATTTGTTGATTGATCCTACCCACTATAGCCATACCATTACAAAATATTCTATTGTTTATACTTTAAAGTTTTTTTTGTTTTAAAAATATTATTTTTCACGTTACTATATTAAACATCGAGACAATTAAAGGCCTTACGTCATGGTTCAAATACTGCCAGATTTAGGATGATCTACCCTACTCTTCACAACCCTCAATAATAATTGTGGAAACATCTTTAGGAAATAACTCTAGCCGACTATTTCGTGCTATAGTACATAATAAATTATTGCTGCAAGGTAAAAGGTATATTATAGTATATTTCGTCTTCCTATATTATATTCGTAAGTTGCATGACATCAGGTTTGAATAAGGATCGACATGCCCTTCAAGGTCGATATCGCATGAACCCTCTTCTCCTCCAAAGATATTTTATTTCTCTATTCTTCTTCTAGTAAAGGAGAATGCAGAATTTAAAATATCATCGATTATATACAATTACTGCAGTCTGTTCCATACTTACTCCTTGCTCCCTGGTTTGAACATTTTCATTCCGAAAATTCATAACTACATCGAAACAACGTACTCCCAGCAAAAGTTCAAAACTCCGTCAAATTGTGACGCCTTAAAAAAAAAAATGATAACGCAACTTGCACAATGAAACTCTCTGGATACTCCTGGGTTGAAGTCAATAAAACATAGGTATATTTTTCTGTACAACATAGGTATATTTAACTCAAATTAAACTAAAGTTGGCTTTAGTAGCAGGAATTGTTACTGAATATTGTTTTTTGATGACATCGGCTGGCCATGTTAAAAGTTCCAGAGAAAAACATTATCAGCTTAACCTTAATCATTTCTAGAAAATAAGGAATGGCTGACAGCGTTGCTTTATTAAAAAAACTGAAAGATGTTCTTGCTATTTATTATTGATCGCTTTGAAAGTCAAAGAATTTGTACTAGAGGAAGTAAGAAGAACATGCCGTCAATGATGTTTTGTATACCTTCCATATTCAAACAAAAGCCTTATCGGAAGCAATTTTTAGAAAAAAATGTGATACTGATATAAATTCTAACATTTTATACCAATTGTTGAAGGGGCATCTTATACCCATCTGTAAAAATTCCGTTTTAGCTTGTTTCAACAACCTTGTTAAATAATATTGATATTTATTTTATTTAATTTTCTATATTTATCTTTCGTATTTTTTTTTACACCGATAAATACGATTTCTTATAGTGTTTTATCCAATGTTTTAGGATGAT